ACGCCTTGCGCGCGTGCTGGGGGGGGCACGATCCGTGTCAAACAAAACAATGCGGCCACTCTCGCGCGTCGGCCGCGCGCGCATGTCGAACTCTTTCCAAACTCAGCATCACCCACGCGATGACCCCGTCATCGTCGACGTGATCAGCACCGGCACCGTCACTGGCCGCGCCGTCGTCGCTGTCAACATCGTCAACAGCATCGCTACTATCTTCATCTTGTCTACCGTTGTCGACCCTGCCATGATACCGCGCCCGCCCAAAGTCGCCGATTCGCATTGGAGTGCCCACTGGGATGTGCCCTGCGGTCAGCGCCACCGCGTCCGCGTCGGTCGCGCCAAACTAGCTGGCCGCTGCGCGCGCGTGCATGCGCGGGCCGGCGCGCCCGCAGAGATGCACCAGCCAGCGTCAAGCACTCATCACAATCGCCGCCGCATGGTTTGGCAAACCAAGTTGCGGGTGGGTGGGTGGGTGGTTTTCAAGAGCATTGGATTTGTCCATTCGTGCGAAAATCAACTGCACCACGCAGATTACACTGTATAAATCTATACAGAAGCCTACGTTGGACAATACAAACACACACATACATATTCATGTATACATAAACACATATACATACATACACACACATACATACATGCATGCATACAAGCGTACGTACATACGTACCTACCTACCTACATACATACATACATGTATACATACATACATACATACATACATACATACATACATACATACATACATACATACATGCATACATACATACATACATACACACATACACACATACATACATACATGCATGCATACATACATGCATACACACATACATACATGCATGCGTACATACATACATACATGCATGCATACATACATCCATACATATTTACATACATACATACATACATACATACGTACGTACCTACTTGCCTACCTACATAAATACATACACACATACATACAGACAGACAGACATACATGCGTACATACATACATGCAGACATGCATACATACATATAGACAAAGATACAGACACACGTTCATACATACATACATGCATGTATGCATACATACATACATGCATGCGTACATACATACATGTGTACATACATATATATATATACATACATACATACATACATACACACATACATACATACATATCTACATACATATCTACATACATACCTACATACATACATGCATGTATACATACATTCATACATACATACATACATACATACATGCATGCATACATACATACGTACATACATACATACATACATACATGTGCACGCCGTCTACGAAGTCTGGGGGGCCGGGGCCCGGGACTCGACAGCGTATGGCGGGCACGGCGACCCAACACTTGCCCGAGAGGCGACTCGGGGCTCTCGGGGCACTTGGGGAACGCGAGAACATAACTCCCAGGCGCCCGCGGTTGTCTCCAGAGGACCCACCGCGGTCCACAAAGCAGGTGGCCCCCAAGAGGGCCCCAAGAAGAAAACATCATGTCTTTTTCCGTAAGCGTTGAAGTTTGGGGGGGTCCGTCGTTTCGGTTTGCCGACGCTCCAACCCAGCCCCAGGAGTGCCACCACCCGCTTCAAGACGGTCTCAGAAGCCCCCCACAGGAACGCACAGAGCACCCAAGAGGCCCCAAAACCACCCCAGGACACCTCCAGGACAGCCCGACAAGGCACCGAGTCGGCCGCAAGCCGCTGGAAAATCACCCCCTGACGCCCGCGGTCGTCTCCAGATGGCCACCGCGCTCCCGAAGCGCTCCGCGAGGGGTTCCAGACGTCTCAAAACGCCCCCCCGACGCTCCAAGAGGATGCCCAGACGGCCCCCAAGCCCCCAAGAGGGCCCCTAGAGGCAACAATGATTGGTTCCCCCTAGGTTTCTGGCGTTTTGGGGGGGGGCGCCTGTCTGGCGTGCCGACAATCGAACCCAGCCCCAGCGCACAACCCCTCGTTTCAGGCCAGTTTCTGGGGTTCTCCTCAGTGGCGCCCAGAGCACCCAAGGGGCCCCAAAGCCGCCTAGTCGCGCCCGAGTCGCCAGAGAATTATTCCCAGACGCCTGCGGTCGCCTCCCGACGGCCTACCACGCTCGTTTGTCGTTCTCGTCCTCGTCTTTGTCCTCGTCGTCGTCCTCATCCTCCTCCCCCCTCCTCCTCCTCCTCCTCCTCCTCCTCCTCCTCCTCCTCCTCCTCCTCCTCCTCCTCCTCCTCCTCCTCCTCCTCCTCCTCTTCGCGGGACGAGCGCCCGAACCTGCCGCGCGCGCCAGGGGCGCGCCCGCGGCGGCGGCCACGAGTTGTGGCGGCTCGAACGGTCTTGAAAGGTCCACGTCGTCGCCGTGGGCCGCGGAGGTTCCGCAACCCTCGCCGGGAGGGAAAGAAGTCTTGCCGGAAAGGGGTCCTCAGGTCTTGGACGCTTCCGGCCTCCTGGAGCCCCCCACCCAGGCGGTGGAAATCCGAAGGACTTCGAGCCTCGACGTCCGAATCTCGTTCCTCTTTCCCCATCGAGGCGTGCGGCGGCTTCTCATCGAGGGTGGGGAGGGAGGAGGAACTGGAGCAGGCGGAGGACGGGCAAGATGAGGGGAAAGAGAGGTAGGGAGAAGGAGGAGGCAGGAGGTGGAGGATGAGAGAGGAGGAGATCGTGGCGGAGGTAGAGGGAAGGGGAGCAGGGGGAGGAGGCGAGACGAGGATGAGGAGGAGGAGGAGGAAGAGGAGCAGCAGAGAGTAGGAGGGAAGAGGAAGGAGGAGGCTTCCACGACGGCCCACATAGGCCCCCCCTAGGCCCCGCAGGAGAAGGCTTTCACGACGCCTCCAAGAGGCCACAGAGAAGAACAGAGGGAGCAGGGAGAGGGTAAAGGGAGGACCACGGCGGGAGCAGAGAGAGAAGGGAGAAGGAGGAGGAGGAGGAGGAGGAGGAGGACCACAGCAGCGGCGAGGACCGAGATGGACGCTCCGCAAAACCCGCACGCGGGGAGATTCGCCGTGCCGCCCGTGACACGAGCGAAAACAAGCGCCACAGCTAGGCCACATATATTCTGCTCTCTGAAAAAAATTGGCTCTCCCCCCCCCGGGGAATATCTCTTCCTTGTTAGGTGTTGCAATTTACATGTCATCCTGCCCTATCGCCGATCCGAAATATGAACTTATTCCATCCCCACCATCCCAGGGGGCGGGCGCTGGCCCCCCCGCCCGCTATCCTTTGCAAAAACATATATGCGCGCGCATTCGTTTATCACACATCATCAGCTGTCACGAATACCTTGCAGAAAACGAAGTACACTCGCGCGCGTCGTCGCGCGCTTGCACCTTCGACAACTTTCGGCGTCGTAAGGGTTTCAAAATCCAGTGTCCGACTTAACAGGTAAAAACACATGGTTTCGCAGCACGGAGTCTCAAGAAAAGCTTACGCGCGCGTTCTCGCGAATTCTCCGTACAATCGTGCGTTTGTTTCAACATGTTCAGAACATGCTACCAAACGGGTTTCGCGCTCGCATGTCGAAATCATTCGAACACCCTTGCGCGCGTTTCGTCGCGAGAATCCATTGCAAACAAAAGACCAAGTGCACGCGCGCATTGTCGCGCGCGCGTGCCGACATCTTTCAGAACCTTGCAGATTGCGCTGGGATTTCAAAACTGAATGTCCAACAAAACCATATACAACACATGGTTTCGCAACACCACGTTTCGAACAAGCGTGCGCTCGCGCTCCTGCGTTTCCTCAAGACGTCGTTTTTGAACAAAACACATGTGCATGGAATTCTGCCAGTCGGGCCGTTGGCGCCGCATGTCGAAACTATTCGCGCGCTCTTGCGCGCGCTTGGGGGGGGGGACACGATCCGTGTCAAATCGTACCATGCGGGCCACTCTCGCGCGTCGGCCGCGCGCGCAGGGCGAACTCTTTCCAACACCATGACCGACACGAGGACGCCGTCATCGCCGCCAGCTCGATCAGCATCCGCGCTGTCATTGACCGTACCGTCGTCGCTATCAGCATCGTCACCAGCATCGCTACTATCATCACAGTGTCTACCGTTGTCGACGTGCCCATGATACCGCGCCCACCCAATTCGCCGATTCGCACTGAAGTGCCCGCTGGGATGTGCCCAACGGTCAGCGCCGCCACGGGTGCATCGGTCGCGCCAAAGTAGCTGGCCGCTGCGCGCACGTGCATGCGCGGGCGGTCGCGGCCGCAGAGATGCGCCAGCCAGCGCCAAGCCCCCATCGGAATCGCCACCGCATGGGTGTTGCAAACCATGTTGTGGGTGGGTGGGTAGGATGTCGGCGCGAGCAGTAGAGTGGACAATCTCAAGTTCAACAAGCGTGGATCGCACCCCTTAAACTGCACCACGTAGCTCGCACAACAGGTATTGAACAGCATAAGTTGCACCATGTGAATTGTACCACGTGAGCTGCACCACAAAGAATGAACAGCATAGATTGCACCACACAGACTGCACAGCGTAGGTCGAATGATCTAGATTGCACCACATAAATTGCGCGACACCGGTTGCTAGAAACACACGGCATGGGACCCATGCCGACTAACAGAGTATGTTGCCGGGGAAGGCAAGGTAATATGTTGCAAGGGGCGAGAGAGATAATAACGGGGACGAGAATGGAGTCTTATATGATAGTATAGCACGCACGGAAAAAGACACGACATTTTCTTGTAGCGTCAGAGACCAGAGGACAGGGGCGAGAGAGAGGAACAGGTATAAGGGAAGGGGGAAGAGAGATAAAGAAAGAGAGAGAGAGAGACTGAAACAAAAAGGAAGAGAGACACAGACAGAAGCACAGAGAGATGGAGAGAGGCAGAGGGGGGGTTGGAAAACAAAGAGAAGAACACAAACGAAGGCGGAGGAGGAGGAGATGAAGCAGTGTATGGAGTAGGAGGCGAAGGAGGCAAGGAGAAGCGAGGAAGAGCGACATTGAGGACAGAGGAGCTGGAGGCCGAGGCGGAGGAGGAGGAGAAGGAAGGAGGAGCGGAAGGACAGCTCCCTCAGCGTTGGGGGGCTGAACTTAGACCTGCTGGGCGGCATCGGACAGTGGGTGTCCTGCATCGTGAAGGGCACCCTCAACGGCGGCTGCGTGCCTCCTGGGGCGACGAACGCGCTGCAGGAGATCAGGATGAGGAGGGAGAAGCAGGGAGGAGGAGGAGGAGGAGGAGGAGGAGGAGGAGGAGGAGGAGAAGGAGGAGGAGGAGGAGGAGGAGGAGGAGGGGGAGGGAGGAGGAGCAGGAGGGAGGAGGAGCAGGAGGAGGAGAAGGGGGAGGAGGAAGAGTACGAGGGCAAGGACGAGGACGAGGACGAGGACGTAGGAGGAGGGAAGAGGAGGAAGGCGCCGGATTTGCCTCAGGAGATCACCGTGGAACTGAAGGCTTACTTGCAACAGATCTGAGGTGTGGCCAAGCCGCCCCTGGTGCTGCGGAGATGTGGACTGCCTCGGCGCACCTGCCACCTGCCATCCGACCTCCCCTCCCAGGAGGATGTGCAGGAGTGGGGAGAAGGAGGAGAGGAACAGGGGGGATGAGTCCGTGCCGGCGCGTTTCCTGATGTGGCAGTACTTTTGTCTCGCTTGTCTCCTGCTTCCCTTCTTGCTGTTACTACTGTTGCTTCGCCTCCCGCTTCCTCACCTTCCTTCTCCTCCGTTTTCTCCTGCTCATCCTCACCAGTATCCGCATAACCCTGCTGTTTGTCCCCCTGGTTATGATTTACGTCCCTCGTTATACCACTCCCCATCCGTCTCTGCCTCCGCGTCTCCAAAGGTTCTCTTTCTCCATGAAGTATTGTCCATCTTCCTCCTTGTCCTACCCATCGCTATCCATCGTGTTCATCCTCTTCGTCCTCCTCCGCAGTCCTCCGCATTGTCTTCGTTCGCCCCCGCTTTCTGCTCCTGCTCGGCCTCTTTCTCCTCCATTGAGTCTTGCCGCAGACTGCACGCCTCAGTAAAGCCTCGAATCAAGACAACTGGGCAGGCTACCCTGGCGATAAAGTGCAGAAACCTGTTAGAACGAAAGCTCCATATCTGGTGCATTATATGCCGACCCGGCATGTGACGGCCAAACCGGAGGCGTGCCTGCCTTTATCAGTTCCCTCCGTCCTCCTCCTCCTCCCCTTGCTCCTCTATCTCCTCCCCCTCGTTCGTCGTCACCCTCCCCAGGCCTCCTCCCCCTCCCCCCCCTCCCGCCCCGACCCCATCCACCCCGCCCGCCTGCCCCCCACCCCACCACATGCAGGAGCCTCAAGGAGGCGGGCCTCCTCCTCCTCCCCCTCCTCCTCCTCCTCCTCCTCCTCCTCCTCCTCCTCCTCCTCCTCCTCCTCCCCCTGCCGCGTCCCGCGTGCGAGCGTCCAGTCCAAGGGGCCTCCGCGGCGCCAGGCCGCCGCGGAGCGCCCCGCCGCGCGTCCTTGGCGGCCCCGCCCCGCCGCCGCCGAGCGCCGCGAGGCCGTGCAGCAGGCCCCGCCCGACGCCTGCGCCGAGCTCGGCCCGGCGCGGGCGGCCAGGATGCTGTCCGAGGTGTGCGGGCAGATGCAGCGCGCCCAGGGCGCCGCGGGCCCCGCCGCCGCCGCAGCGGTCCCTGCCGCCGACGCTGCCGCCGCCGCCGCCCTCAGTCCTCGTCGTGGTGACCGTCGCCGCCGTCGTCGCCGTCCTCGCCGCCGCCGTCGTCGTCGTCGTCGTCGTCGTCGTCGCCGTCGTCGTCGTCGTCGCCGTCGTCGTCGTCGTCGTCGCCGTCGACCCGACATCAGGTCCAGAGGGGGGTTGAGCCTGTCAGTATGACTTTCGCGGCGTGGGGGTTCATGTTGATGTTTGTGTGGGGGGGTGCACGATTTGTCCGCCCCGAGGGGCGCAACAAAGTAGAACCATCATCCAACACCTTAGTACGTACTTTTGCCTGACAATGATTTTGCATAATGGTCCACGCCGTCTACGATTGCTGACGGGTGCAAGGGAGTCATCATTTGCCTCTTCCCCAGCGTCGACGGCTACGATTGCGGTGATCGACCTCGTCGTCGGCATCGGCATCAGTGTCGTCTGCATCCGCGTGTTCATGAAAGCCGTTGGTTCGAGCCTTGGCGAAACTTTCCCTGCGCCCACCGGGTCATTTTCGTCATCGTTCATGCCGCGCGCGGCTCGGAGCGGGACCAGTATCCCATGGCTTGTTCTTGATACGGTCAAAAGGCTTCATGGCCCACGCAGCTGCGCAGCGTGTTGCCATGCTGGCTGTTGAGGGGGGCCATTGCAGTAGGCGATGCAGCGCCTTCATGTTGCGGTCCTTGTCAGAGTGGCAGCCTCGAGGAGAACCCCTTCATCACATGTAATGTGCGAGTGTTCTCCCTTACCCGTGTGCCTCCGCAGGTGCGCGGGGGGGAAGGGGGGAAGCGTCCCTGCACAGGTCCCACTTGGGACCTGCGCTGATCGGGACTCGCCCTCCTCGCTGCCTAAGCCCCGTGAGGGGCGGTAGCGAGGCTCCAATGGTCCACGCGCCCTCCGAGACGTGCCCCCCGATATCCCACAACCATCGTCTATTCGCAGCTTCATCATTCCCTTGGCCTTCAGTCCCAGCCCTCTGCGGATGAGGCCGAGGAGCGAGCCGATGGGCGACGGCAGAAGCAACCCCCTCTGTCCGCCGCCGAGATCGTCGTGTTCGTCGTCGTCCTCTGCTGCGGGTGGGGGGTGGGAGAGGAAAGTGCCCGAGTTTGGGCCCAAGAGGCCCTGGGGTTTGGCCCAAGAGGCCACAAGGAGTGGAAAAAAACAGGTCGCTCATGCATGGTGCTCGCAGCTTCTCTTCTGGACACGAGGGAGCCCAACACGACCCCAGAGAACAGCGAGAGCGGGCCGAGACGGCCCCCGAGGCCTCCAAGGGAGGAGGGAGGAGGAGGGAGGGAAGCGGAGGGGGAGAAGGTGGAGGCGGAGGATCGGAAGAGAAACGGAGGAGGAGGAGGAGGAGGAGGAGGAGGAAGTAATCGTGTGTTCTTGCTTGCTTTCGGATCGATGTTGGATGGGGTCGGAGGTTGCTCGTGGACAAAAGTGAGGTTCAGAACGAGGGAGGACGCTGAGGAGGAGGAGGACGACGACGAGGAGGAGCATTGGGAGCGATCGCAGGGAGGAGGAGGAGGATGAAGAAGAGGAGGAGTAGGAAAAAGGGTGAGGAGGAGGAAAGGAGGATGAGGAAGAGGAGGAGGAGGAAGAGGAGGAGGAGCAGGAGGAAGAAGAGGAGGATGAGGAGGAAGAAGAGGAGGAGGAGGAAAGGAGAAGAAGGAGGAGGAGAGGAGGAGGAGGAGGAGGAAGAAGAGGAGGAGGAGGAGGGGGAGGAGGATATACGGATGCGAGGGAACGAGGAGGAAGGGGGGCGGCCAGGGGATGAAAATGGTCAAGCATGGAAGGGAGGAAGAGGAGGAGGAGGAGGACGGAGGAGCAGGAGGGGATGTGAAGAGGATGGAGGTGTTTGTTCGCTCCCTTGTTGGTCTGGGTGTCAAGGAGCCTGCGGCTCGCATGCCGGAGGGGGTCCGAGCACGCTGCGAGCAGTCTTTAGAAGATGGTTGTTGAGCTCTCCTTTCGGGGGTGGACAGAACCCCCAACAGTGACACGTCGATTAGTGAATTGTCCGTTTTCGGTTCTCGAGAGGGCGCAGTGGCCGTTATTTTCCAGGCTTGCGCCCGCCAGGTTTGGGCCTCAGGTCGTTTTCACTAAACCGCGTTTTACTAAAGGGGGTTCTGTCCATCCCCGATCCTTTCGGAGGGAGGAGCAGGAGGAAGAGGAACAGGCGGAGGAAAGGACGGAGCAACGGGAAGGTGGGGAGGAGGAGGGGGAAGGAGGGGGAGGAGGACGGAGGGACGAGGGTAGAGGGAGGAGTGAGGATGAGCAAAGAGGGGTCGGGGGAGAAGGACGAAGACCAGGAAGGAGGAGGAGGACGAGGAGGAGGAGGGATGGAAGGAAGGAGGGGAGAAAGGCAATGAGGAAGAGGAGGGGGAGAATGAACGGAGAAGAAGAGCTGGGACGAGGAGGACAAGACGGAGAGCTGAGGAGGACGAGGGGTTGGAGACCGTACAAACGCCTGGAGGTATTGCGTGTTAGAGAGAGAGAGAGAGACAGAGACAGACACAGACACAGACACAGACACAGACACAGAGACAGACAGAGACAGATACAGAGAGAAAGAGAGTGTCTGCCATCCTCGATGTCTCTTGCTCGTGGCGCCTCGTGTCAAGCCAAAGAGTCAGCAAGCACTATAAAAATCCAGGTGTGGTAGGTTAGAGGGCCAGCAAAAGTTGTTAAAATCATATGTTTCATGTTTCCGGTGTTTTTGTGGATCGATGTGCGCCCAGGCAGATAAATCCACGAAAGTTTGTAACTTTTTGGGGAAAACCCTATAGTCACAGCGTTTGTTGGCCCTCGGACCTGAAACACACGCTGCTTACATTTGGATGCTGGTCCGAGCCCGCTCGTGCTGCAACCTTTTTAGGCTTTGTCCTTCAGCCTGGTGGCGCTCAGGTAGTAAGGATTCCTCGGGAATGATTCCTTAGAACGGGCTCCTTAAGGGCTTTTTTCTTTCAGGATCCTTTCGGACGGACTCTTCGGCAATGACTTCTTACTAAAAAGAAAAAGGCATGGACGATTCTTGCTGCTGTCCGGTGTCCCGTGTCCTGTGGCCGGTGTCCAGCGTCCGGTGCACCGGTGGCCGGTGCACCGGTGGCCCGTGTCCGGTGTCCGGTGGCCGGTGTCCGGTGTTTGGTGTCCGGTGTCAGCTGTCTGGTGTCCGGTGTCCGGTGGCTGGTGTCCAGAGGCCGTCTGGTGTCCGGTGTCCAGCGTCGACGCCGGTGTCCGGCGCGGGTGCGCCCATGGCCGAAGACGGGTGCGAAGCGTGGCCGCAGAAGAAGATTTGAACACACATGCGTATCATTGGCATGATAACAATGACGATGATGATTAGGTTTACCATGGGATTGCAAGAAGAAAACCATGACCTCCGCACCTCCTCCCCCTCTTGTTCCAACAAAAGCCGGGAAAAGCGGTTCGGAAGGAGCCTGGGATGAGAGCGAATTGGAAGATCAAGAATAAGAATACGATGAGATAGGAGTGGGAGAAATCATATGGCAGTAGGTGGTAGGAGGGTGATGCGGACGAACAGCGGAAAGCAGATGATGCAGACGATGATGATGATGTTAATGTTGAGAATGCGGATTATGATGCAGACGACGATGATGATAATGATGGTGACAATGCTGATGGCCATGACGATGATAACGGTGATGTTGTTCAAGATGAAGATGATGACGATGATGACGATGCGGATGCGCACGTTGCGAGACAGGAGGACCCCACAGCGTTCCTCTCCCACAAAAATATTCTTTTGGTGGCGAACGCAAGAGACGGCCGAGAGGTCAAGGAACTAGAAGAGAGACAGCTCCTCACCATCATCGTAGAAAGCATTGCCATCACAACCACCACATATAGTCACTATCACCAGCAATATCATCACCATCGGCATCGTCATCG